AACCCCCTAATTTTAGCGTTGTAAATCCGAAGAATTACCGGACTTACAACGCTAGAATCCTGGTTTCGATACCCGTGGTGGGCAGAGCACAGATAGCCAATTGTGTAGCTTTGTGCTTAATTACAAAACAAAACAAACTCACCAGGGGACTAGTTATAAAGAGACTCGTCTAAACACACGAGTTCCCCATTTATTATGTTAAATATTAATTGTAACGTCTCGTTTTGTAAAAGAACATTTCGCTTTTATGAAACAGTCTATACCATTGTTTTTCACAGGTGTCATCAGAGTTTTATGTCGAAGTTGTTTCACCCTTTCAAAACAAAAAAGTCCAAGTTTCATATAGAGTAGTATATTTCTCGTCCACCATTATCAATCGAAAAAAATCGGCCATTGTTATTCCTATTCTAGCTTATGCAAATTAATAAGCTGTATATAGGTCTTCTTAAGATATATCTTTCAAGATCGCTAATTCACCAAACCTGTTTATACCCACAAAATGTAGTATTGATAATCTCTGTACAAACTTATTAATCTTCTCTTTATAACGAGCTGTTTTCCTGTATCGTAGTTCCATATTTAGAATACCTGACCGGACAGATGAACCTGAGCTCATGTAAACCTATATATATAACCATAATTGATTTGAAGGTGCTTGCACCTATAATGGTTTTTTTATTAGTACGCTAAACAAAGAAGATTCGTAAGCGTTTCCAGTCTTAACAATATATATAATGAAACATCCATGCTGCTTGTTGAGTGACTTACAAGGGCGATCTCCTTGAAATTTAATTTATTGATACCGAGTTCAACAAACCCTTGGACTCTAGTCTTAGAAGAATATATATTTTTTTCATAGTAATAATTCGAAAAATACACCAGTTGTATCATTTTAACAAAACTTTGACAAAGTGTTTCCTCTTTCTCACAAGTTTTTAAATCTCTCTTGATTTTTCGGACTGATAATTCGCCGTAACTGTATTTATCTATTCATTCATATGATGTAACGGGAACAGGTAAAAAAAAATGTCGGGTAATCTTGAGCTATTAAACCTAGAGTAATATATGCAAGCCAACTGTAAGATAAACGATAGAAATGAATTCGTTGATCATCTAAACATTATAAACTTTATGATTTGTTGGTTATTAAGTTGTTGTTTTGTAATCTAAGTTCGTAGAAAATCTCTATAAAATATCTATTCTCGCATTCAAGAAAATCTTTTTTAACTCATGAAAATTGAATTATGTTGTGTTGAGACTATATAGAATGTTCATTCTTGTATTAAATAAAATTCTAATCCATAATTAATGGTTCATGTTGTGATGAAACTTTAAAAACATATGTTCATGTATTCAATAACATTTTTCTAATGCCTAAATATTGTTTTTCAATGCGAAACTTTAAAAGAAAATCTCTCGTCATAAAGCAATAAATATCCAGAAAAATCGCGTAGCTCATATATATTTCCTCACCTGAAAGAAATCCACCACCCCATCTTTTTAGATACAACCTGAAACTATACAAAAACTATAAGTGCTTTTCTAATACATGACTATAACCTCTTTGTGTCACAATTCGTAGTGAATCGCTGAACTACTGACTGGTAGTATTCATACGCACTTAAAAAAAAGCAAACAAATCTAGATTCTATGTGTTCCAGATTTCAACAATGAATTTATGGTGCTATCACATGTAAATTCGGTCACAATAGAGTTGTTATATATATATTATGCTCGTAGTTATCGAGACGACCATAAAAGCTGTGGTTTTTTTGTGTGTTTTGTTTTTTGACGCAAAGCTGCACAATGGACAATATATGCTCTGTCCACCGCAGGGAAACAAACCCAAACTTTTAACTCTATAAGTCTGTAAAATTTTAAACATACGTATGATTTCTCATTTTCTTGCTTAACAGGCTTTATATTAAAACAGCACCATTCCCCGCGGTAGGACAGGAGCAAGTTTACAGATTTACAACGCTAAAATACAGGGTTCGATTCCTCGCGGGGAACACAACAGAGAACCCCATGTGGCTTTGCTCTAAAATAACGAAACTAAAAGAATGTATAAAAATCCCCAGGTTAAGATCTAACTTGATTTTATGAAAGATCATTTACACCTTTTTTGAAATTATCACTGATTTCGATATATAACTAGTACTGATAATGTGTTTCTTAACAATGGCTCAGCGATGTTTCCATGACACCCACATGAATGACGATCACTCTTCTCTTAAAGTGTAGATTAAATCGATAAGCGATAGCCACTCAGAGACAGGCACAGAAGTATATAATCAACTGCTTTATTCAGCAGAGAAAAATAATGATAATAGAAAGTAAAATAAAATACTCCTAAAGTTTCTTTGTTTGGAATTAAGCACAAAGCTCCACAATGGGCTATCTGTGCTCTGCCCACCACGGATATCGAAACCCGATTTCTAGCGTTGTAAGTCCGCAGACATACCGCTGTGCCACTGGGGGGCTTGTTTGTTCAATTTGATTCGTTAATATTAAATTGTTTAAATAACATTATTTGGATGTTTGTTGTTAAGCGCAAAGCTACACAATGGGATATCTGTGATCTGCCCGCTGTGGGTATCGAAACCCAATTTATAGCATAGAAACCCTCAAACTTGCCTCTGAGCCGCCTGGGAGCAACAGTGTTCGAAAAAAGCTTGCTAAAGTTGTATATACCAAGGTTAGCAAAATGATTTTTAACTATTAATAAAATATAGAAACACTCTGGAAAGTCCTTCTTTGAAGAACAAAGTCGTCCAGTGTAAAATTCTCTAAATAACTTCATGGTGGGTAAAATCGTTCGTTGATTAGTAAAAATGTTGGTTTATTCAGATTTGAAGAAAAATCATAACATCTATTGTTTTAAGCCTGCTTTTATTCAATCTGTAATACCATTAATCAAAATATTTATTGTTTTAATCCTGCTTTTATTTGGTCTGTAATACCATTAATGCTAAGATTACACGAACAAGGATACTCTTGCTCAAAAAATGTTGTTTGTATTTAGACGAAACTGTTTGTGAAATTCACTATCTTTTGCAGTTTGTCTGCTGCAAATCTTAATCGTCATTTATATGTTGTATCTTTTTGAAATTCTTGGTTCTCAATAATTTTTAGTCACATAATAATCTCTTTATGAGTAACATTTTATACTGATTAATATATTCTGAAATGAAAGGGTTCGAGAAAAAACAGATACTGTAGCTTTTTTCTGAAGTAGAGTCACGTATAAAAAGGATGGGATGGGATCGTGAATTACGTCTTTAGAGTGAGAAATTTCCACCAAAAAACTCTCATGGGGTAATAAAATAACCCCCATCAATCATGTTTATGTACATCAGTAGTGTTAGATTTGGATACCAGACACTAACTGGATGAAATCAACCAAGCTTGTAGCCTCATTTTGATCCTTCAGTTTCAGTTTCTTCTTCTAATTCTTGATTTTTGGGCTGTTTACAGATGCTCCGAATTTCTTAAGCCATTTTCTAAACTCTTAGCAGCTATAATAACTGTAACATTCGTTCTTATGAACCACAATCAAAATACCATCCGTCGTTCGACTCCTTCCTATCGCTGCTAGGACACGATTTACTTCACTATGAATTCCTTAAGCCTTTTTTTAACCATCAGCAGCTATAATAACTGTAACATTCGTTCTGTTAGGTCAGGGTGACAACAGAGTTCTTGTGTTAATAATTTAACACTGATTCACCTTCTAAAACATATTACTGCTAGGATTTCAAGAAATCGTTTATAGGTCATACTTGTTTATCCACGAGATTTATGTTCCCTAAAACACATGCATATTCTTAAGTTTGCAAAAACTTTAAATAGACTGTCTAAAAAAAAAGTGATCAGGACTCGAATCAATTCTACGTAATTGTTTTCATGCTATGGGGCAAAGTAATAAGTATATGAATGGAAAACAACAACAAAACTTTGAAGTGAAGGAATGCAAAAAAATGGCTGTATGTAAGTCTTGAGGTAACCTGCCAATTACAGCATTAAAACTCGAAGGCACTTATGAACATGTATGTGTTTATTGCGAGTAAAATGGCAGACTGCATACGTCGGTTAACACAGAAGCCAGGCTGAAGTGACACACTTTTCTACAGCACGTACATCCAACGCAATGTGAATATGATAATACTTCTGAGCTCACTGAACCACTTCGGGCGTTCTGGTTTTAGTTGATTTCATGAAACGAGACCATGACTGGAAGCCATGTGGACGAACGATCTCGTACGAATCTCGTTTCTCACGGTGCTCTGTGTGGGTTGATGAGAGCGCACAGAAAATGGCTGTTTTTTTTAACTGGTCGTATTTTATCACACGGCTACTATCCAGCAATTAAAAAAATATATTAAATAATACGTACATTTTAAATTTAATTATCTCTTTTGAGTTTAATATTATATTGCAATTTAATGTCCACTGTATAAAAAGAAATAATACCAAAAATGGACAAAAGTAATGTATGTCATTTGACAAGTAAGTAAACTGTATAGTTAAGCAAACAGAATGATAATTTATGTTAACGAGAGTGCTGAACATTTCACATTAGACGACAGTATATACATTATAGACACAAGAAGTTATCAGATATTTAACTATGGTAAAGTAATATACACATCCCCCAGCTATCCATTTTTAGCACATTTCCTCAAATACAACTTATTTTCACATTGAACCCCAGAAGGTTAGGTTTAAAATAATACACATCTTGTTATATTAATTTTAATGGAATGTGATAGCAAAAAAAAATAAAAAAAAATCTTCAATGAGGTTTCCTCTATCAGGTACGATAGGTTTCGGCAAATTACTCCAAATAATTGAAAACCGTTCTCACTTAAAATATAAACGTGGACAGATATGTATCACGTTAGATTTCGAAAATTACACATTTCTTATAAAAACTTTTGAGCTGGATTGTATATAATTATAGAAGTAATCATGTTGGAATAGTTATCAAAATTATTTCGCTTTAACCATATCGAGGTTCAAAGAAATGGTCACACGAAATCAAAGTTTTTTTTAATATATATAATTTAATGGTTCTTTACTTTCCTATTTAACACCAAATCATAAACAAAGTAGAAATATGTAAATATGTATTTCTATACATTTAGTTTTTACAGACAAACATATTATATATACAAAGCAATTCAATTCCCTTTAATTTTTTTATGGCAGATTGCAACCCGCACAAAAAGAACCTTTAATGATAATGAAAATAGAGAGGCTAATATAAAGCTCGATAGATAACTATGATCAAGCAGTGTAATTGGAATGATTTTTTTTTCGTGTATGTGCGTGTGTGTGTCTTTGTTTGATTGGTGGAACGAAAGCTGGTCCCGATAATTCGGATGTCATATTTTCTATCATAAACCATCCTAATAAAGAATGAAATAATATTTTTCCTATTCTTTTTTGTTTTCGTTTAAACTTAAACCTCATAAAAACAAAATTCACAAACAAAGACAATATAAGCACAAGAATATAAACCGAAAAAACAGCAAATACACCAAATCTGCTTGTTATAGAGCAATTCTCTCTAATCCTTGAATGAAACTTACAGAATTATTCATATTTTTGCGAACAGTAAACATTAAATTTGTTATTCTATTTTATTACATCTATATACCAGTGACACCATAACAAAATAATCAACATGCTGAATCACAAAATATTATTACTTTTTTTCTGGTCGCGAACAAAACAACACGGAAAGCTACAACGAAAACTGTATATTCTGCTTGCAATATGTGACTGACAAGCTCCGTAGATTATCTGGTGTTTGTGAAAGTGTACAACCAACATACGCCTAAGCTTTTTTACTGTTCTTGAAAGTGTACAACCAACATATGTCTAAGTGTTTTTACTGTTCGTGATAGTGTACAACCAACATACGCCTAAGCTTTTTTACTGTTCGTGATAGTGTACAACAAACATACGCCTAAGTGTTTTTACTGTTCGTGATAGTGTACAACCAACATACGCCTAAGCTTTTTTGCTGTTCCTGAAAGTGTACAACCCATAATCGCCTAGCTTTGTTTTACTTTTCGTGAAAGTGTACAACCCACAAACGCCTAATTTTATTTAACTGTTCGTGATACTGTACAACCAACATACGCCTAAGTGTTTTTACTGTTCGTGATAGTGTACAACAAACATACGCCTAAGTGCTTTTGCTGTTCCTGAAAGTGTACAACCCACAAACGCCTAACGTTGTTTTACTGTACGTGAAAGTGTACAACCCACATACGCCTAACTTTTTTCTTCTTTTTTTTTTGCTGTTCGTGAAAGTTTACGGCCAACAAAATCTGAGACTCTCCTTCTGTATGTGTGTGAAATATACGGTCACAATATTTCCATAGCTTATCTAGTTTGTATGAAATTGTACGGTCGACAAACTCAGAATTTGACCTGGTGTATGTGTGTGTGTGTAAATGCATTTTCATTAACAAGATTGTCTCTCGGACATCTTGAACTCGCAGTCATTCACCGCGGTTATTTTAAACGGTCTTCACAACAGCCTATATTCAAAAGGACAATAAATCGTGTAACGTCATACACACAGACTTTAAACAACGCAAATCTGACTCAGAAAATGAAGAAATGAGCTTACTTGAATTAATGTCATGGAAATAATAGTGGCACTTAACATGGCTAGATAGTACATTGATACTTTGCTTATTAAGTAACTCGGTTAGACAGTACACTGATACTTTACTTATTAAGTAACTCGGTTAGACAGTACACTGATACTTTACTTATTAAGTAACTCGGTTAGACAGTACACTGATACTTTACTTATTAAGTAACTCGGTTAGACAGTACACTGATACTTTACTTATTAAGTATTCTAT